GCTCGGCGGGGACGAATGATTAATCAGACAGAAGGGGGTGTGCCCCGGAGGACGAAGCGGATTGGCCGGAGGTGGCCGGGAGCGGGCTCGCCATTGGTCAGCTCAGAGGCACACACGCACACGCACGGCGCCGTCATCCCCCGCCGTACCGTCGCCATTTTGTGCTACAGCCCCACCAGAGTGGATATAAATCAGAATTATTAACGTTGACCCCCCCACTCCTCACACGGCACAATACACATACACATATCTGAATAAGGTAATTGGGGCTTACATAAAAATATTGGCTGCCATGATGCCGTGCCCGTTACCATAGATCGATTCTCCGTAAAAAGCCATGTAAATATCGGATCATCATTTGTAATTATTTAATTACACGGAACCTTTCATTTAATTCAAATATTTGTATTTTTTGTCATTCGTTACGTTCAATTGACCCTGTACTTTTTTCCACACTTTTGTTTTCGAAAATCTGTGTTTCTTTTAAACAGCTTTATCACTTTATAAAATTAAAAACAAAAAATACTTATAAACGCACTTACGCTTATGACAAAATTAATAGAATTAAAAGATCATAATATTTCTGAAATCCTTATTTCAAAAAGTATTTAAAGAAGCGATTTCTTTTAATATTTACACTATTAAACATTGCCTGAACTTTAAGCGTAGATAAAAAATACAAACATTAATAAAGTAATTTTAATTTATAAATATCTAGTCTTTTGATTCAACGATATTTTAGAGACTAGAGTCAGAACTTGAACTTATAAAATTAAAGATATTTTGCAGCGATTTTAAGTAATTATAATCCAGTACAGATAAAAATCTTTTTATAATCATATCTTCAAAACATAGAAAGCAATAGATCAGGATAAAAGATTTTCCGATCAGTTTTTAATTAGTATTGGCAACGGCTAGGAATCTGTAAATAAACAAAAGTTTAAAAAAAAAATATGTTGCCCTTGGGCATAGGATGATGGATATTATATATTTATATTCAGATTATTCATGATAGAAAAATCATGGATTAATAAGACCCTGATGTAAGATCTAGATATTCCAAAATATTTACCGATAATCTATTTTTTGATTTATAGAAATATCACTTTATCACTGAAACGTCTACAAAATATATAATTTCAAAATAATATTGTCTAAAAAATACTTACATCAACTTTGGAAAAATGTGACATAATCATCTAAAACATATTGAATGTTTTCAAGCAAAATTCACTAATTCATATAAATATAATCTCTAAGTCATTCGATGCCATATTTTGATGGATGGATTGATTTAATATTTTACATTTATCTAATAAAAATCATTCATAAAAAAAAATTCACCAACTAGATTTCTTTCATTTCCTTGAACTCCCAGTTTATAGTACTCTACATAACTAACTTGAAAACGGTATTGCCGTTTATATTTTTGGTTGTATTTCATCTTATGTTTAGTAAACTCTTTATGTTTTCCTAAAAGGAAAATGTAGTTTTTGGGTGAACATCGAAAACCATACGGAGGGTTTGAATACACTCAGAAAAGGCAGAAATGCGATTCAATAATACTGAAATTGAGGTAAGATGAAAACATAGAAGCTAATCACTATTCACTTAGATTTTTAGAGGAAGAAAGTTAGTTGATGTTTAAGAAGTAACTGCTATGGTATTTCTTTATTTTTTTCTTAGCCTATTCACACAAGTATGTTATAACATGTAGGCATATGGTATTAATGAAATTAATAACAACTATATATACACAGAAGGGTGTATATATAATTCAGACTTCATTTAGCAAACCTTCCTGGGAATATACATCACTGCACATCTACAAAAAGGAAAATACATTTTAGAAGACTGGTTTCTCAGAGCAGTTTGTTTACGATATTTCATATTATTATGAACTACCTGAACCTAATTTTGCCTTGGTTTTATCTTAGTTATGCGGATGATCTCTTCGTATCTATATTATATGAAGATTCAAGACTGAAGAAAGGTGGTTTCGTGCTTTTTATGTCGAAGCAATAGCGCTAGGACTGCTCTTAAATGTAACATAAAGCAAGTTATATGACCTCGGGAATTTAGCACGTTGGTAGATATTGTCCAGTTTGGCGCATAAAGGTTTAAACAATAAAACAATTGGATGAATTTGAGTACCTGAAGTTAATGGTAACAGCGGGAAATGGCATTTTAAAGAGTATCAAGAGTAGAAAAGTTATTACTAACCGATGTTACTTCGTGCTCGGAAGCCGATACTTGTCGGGGATAACCAAATCGTAGCTGATATACCGTTTAGATTCATGGAGGATACCACAGTCGGATGAAGAAAGTCTACAGACTTTTGAAAAAATTCTACGACGCATCTGTTAACATAGGAGCCCCTATCATACATACCACAAGGATGTAATAAAGAAATATATAACCTCCACCAATAAACCAGCTATATAAAGGCGTATAGTCTGAGAAGATGGAGATGAGCTGGCCATACTATTGGAATGCCAGAGAAGATCTCCAGAAAAATAATAAGTAATGCCATTAACAGCAGTGGAAGACCGGTTTTTAGATGGATGGACGACTTATGGAAAGATATCTGGAGGATCCTGGAGAACTGCATTCAGAGTAAGGAGAACTGTTGTCCATCTGCGTGCAGGTTGCTGGAAGTTACTAAAGAAGATCTGGGACCAGTAATGGTCTGTCAAGTAAGAGTATAGTAATTAAGATTCGACCAACACATAAGTACTCTATATTCCTCTTCCCATATAAAATTGCATGATCATAAAGAAAGAATGGCGGCTCCAACTCACACTTCCACTAGAAGGCGATTAAAAAGGAGTTTGATAAGAGACTTATCATCATGGAAAGACGGGTTTTATCAATACCGGAAAGATGTACTGCTGGGTACTATACTTCTCCATGCCTAAAATGCCATTAACATAATGTTTCAGCTCATTTCCTTATTGAATAAGACAAAATTATAATATTCATAAATGTCAATAAAAATGTTGAATTCATGTATTTCAAAAAGCCATAACCAGAATTTAGTAATCTCTTCAAGAAACAAGAAAACTGTATTTCCTTTATATGGAAGTTGGATGGAAATTCAGAATATTTTTCTATAATGCTTGTGTTATACTTAATTGTTTACTTTAGGAGTTCCTCAAAGTGGCAAACGTTTAATAGTTCCAATATATATATTTATTTATAATTTTATTTCTGATAAATTTCTCGCTTTTTGGGGATTAAGCTTTAAAAAAAATAATAAAAAAGACTTCGATATTTTGAGGAACAAGTGGAGTAGGGGAGAGCAGGGCTGAAAATTTCTATTTTCTACCATCCTTAAATATTATTTAGGAAATGATTCATAAACAAAATTCATACTAGCCTGTAATTAGTACATATATTCTCCTTTATAAGTCTGAGATACTTTCGGGTGCACCTTTAACGGATGTATTTATATGAAATTTAGTATACAGGAAAAAAAAATAACTCAACTTCCGAGTTAGTTATTATTAGCTCTACCAAATACATAAATAGTGGGGGGAAAAAATTGTGTGCTTTAGAATAGAAATGAAAACATCAACAAGCCGAGATAAATAATAGGAAATATAAATTATAAATAGCACATTATAAAGAGGATGAAATGCTGAACATTTCCCTCGTTACTAATATGCAGGTCCAATTTTTAGTTTTTGAGATATTTTAATCCATATGCAAAAACACTTCAATTAGTCGATTCCAACCGACTTTAACCGAGCGTTACACATCGGAAATCTGACGGCCAAATCTAATTCACTCTCCTCAAAACAGTGCTAAAAACGTCTAAAGAAGTTTTCACTTCAAAAATAAAGATTTGAATATTTACTCATTTATTTAAAGACTGGTCAACAATATCTTAAGTCTATGCAGTCAAAAATGTCTAACAATTTTAACAAAACCATGAAACAAAAGATATAATTCTCCTTTGGTGTTTTAATATCTTATAGTAATCACTCATAATTATTTCACTACTCTAAGTTGTACTTTCAGGTTATATATCATCTCAATTTGCAATTGACAGCTGATGTAGCTAATCACTGTTTATGATTAGGAATATATAACCATTGTTCTGACTAATATGGCGGCCGTCGTTGTTGCTGCTTTTTACTAATTCGCGACACACTTTAGACATATCTCTTTTCGTTTTTGTGCTATCGCGTTCGAAGTAAGTTGTCCCGGTGGTAATTTTTAGCACCGCTCTCCTCTACTCCGTTCCACTTGTCAGAAAATATTCTTTTCCATATACTAAGCATTTTTAATGTTTTTTATTAATATTATTTCAACTCATAATTTTAAAACTAAAACATTAAATCTTTATTGAATGATAACAGCTGAAATGGAAGGGATCGAAGCATTGTGTCTTTGCAGGTTGACCAAGTTTACCTACGCGCAGCAATCCAATCGTCCGTCATAGACTTGCAATTAGCATTCGAATACATGGACAGATGGACCACGCCTTGGCCACAACGTGTGTCCGTACCCATCTTCAACATCCTTCACTCCCACAATGCATCAGGAATGATTCTTATATTTTTCATATAAGAGAACCAAAAAGTTCTCTATTATCATATCACAATTTTTTCGTGTATTTTGAATTTGCAAATCTTCAAAAAATGGAAAAAATAAATCTAAACAACCCGTGAAATACCTTGAATTAAATACTTGTAAAATAAATAGCGCTTCTGGTGTCAAACGGTTTTCCTTATAAGTGATATGGCTAGGGTGACATTCAAACACATAGTTTTCCATCCAAAACTATTGAAACAAAACTATTGTTAGGGACTCGTCTTATTCTCGCATTTGGTCAACACTAGAAACGACTTAGCTTGAATTACAGTGGATTTTTCTGCAAGATTTTTTTCGGGGGAGGGTACAAATAGGAAGATAGAAATTTTGTATGTAAAGACGGGATGGAATAAAGTAATGTATTACATTGTATTAAACTAAAATTTAATGAAAAAATATTATCACCAATCCGACCATACAAGGGTTGTTGTTCCGTCAACGGAGGTAGTTGTTATGTGGATACCTTGATGTACAATAATATAACCATATATAAAGTTCAAACCATGGTATTTGTTGTTCGTAATGTCGCATGTCATTGAGGGGTCTGCAAGTCGTAAATCTCAGTAAGAAGAAGCAGTAAACATCGGCAGGATTGAGAAACATCTGGGAAAGAGCCTTTCCTCCGCCAGCTGAAAATGGAAAAAAGAAAGTCCGCTTTGGAAAGTTCGGCCTCCTCCGAACGGGATCGTGGGAAAGGCAGCCCCCGGTGACACATAGGTCTATGTTCCAATTGGGTCGTTAGTCGTTAGTTGTAATGAGGTCATCAGGGTCTTCCGCCTTCGCTAACGAAGACCCTCGGGATAATATTTTAGTGAGTCTTCATTACGGTAGCTCCACATCTTATCCATTTAAAAACCAAATTGCCTTTACCGGTGTAACAAAGTCGCTCAGACCGGTCGTGCAGGAAGGAATGAGCCATTGGACGAGCCCAAAGGACGTGTCTTCTCAGTGCAGCACAAACGGGTTAGTGTTGGGGGGCCTTGGGTCATCTGGTCTCTACAAGAATTCAAAATTTTAATATATATTTACAAGTTGTGGTAAACTAACTTATTTTTAGAAAGTTAAATTTTTTTCAGAAAAAAGGTCAAACAATATTTTACGTACAAAAGTATCCCAAAAGACAGTAGACGAAAATTCTCAGAATCTCAGAATGACCAAAATATTATGTTAGCAGTGGCAGATCCAAGATTTAATTTTAGGGGACTTGGATCATTTTTTGTAAGTGATGACCCTGAAAAAAAGAAAGAAACTATATAAAATAATATTTAAGTGGTTCTTGAAGATCTATAAAAAAAAATAGGTGTTTACAGGAACAATGCTTTTAAGGATAATTTTGTTTTCACTCGTGCTTATATTCAGTACCTAAAATAGATGCGATATAAATCTAAAAAATAACACATTGTGAATGCTCAGATCACTGACAGAAACAAATATGGATCATTGAAAAAAACAAATGATTTTCCATTTTGGAATGGGGGGAGACTTGAACCTGAAAAAGAAGGGGTATACCTCCATGGGTTCGCCAATGTAATCTACTATTTTACTACATTATTATGAATTTATATACTCATAAATGAATATTTATTATTATAGCATTACTTTTTGATTGTGTTAGTTGGAAATATGTTGAATTAATATTCAAAAGTTTCCACTTTTATATCCGCGAGAGTAACGATTCAGCAGTAATAACAAAGTAGTTTCAAAATTAATTTTTGTTGAGTTTTATCATCAGATCTACAGTCTTACAATCTCGAAAGATACCTCAAATTATCAAACAGCTGGTATTTAGTAACAGCGATTCATTGATTCATCCACATTGTTCAACATTAAATGGAATTTTAAAATTAAAATATGTAAATATTTTTTGCATGAAAAGAAAAAGAAAGAGTTTGAAATAATTAAATTGTTTTTAAGAAATCCCGATTCGAGTTTCATGTTTTATTTATCATCGGTTTCATCATCAACGATTCACCAACTTCAGGCACCTTGTCTGATTTGTATAAAATGGGCGTAACCAAATTATATTAAATATCTAAGATAATTATAACAAAGAACCTTTATCATATATTTTTTAAAACATTAGGGTATATACAATTAATTTTAATTAATACACCAAAAGTATTAAAAAGAAATATTTTCTGATTTCTTTTTATGTGATGGAATACAGTTAAAAAGTTTTAATTAGGAAAAATCCACATGATAGGTTGATGGTCGGAAAATATTTAATATTAATTTTATTTAATGTAAATTAAATATTTTTCTAAAATTAAATTTAATATAATTTTTTTAATAATATATATTAAAAAATAATAAGGAAAATGTTTTTCTCAACTGTATAAATCACCGAAAATGACTCCATAAATATTTGGAAGTTCTTATTAAGAATTTATTTGAAAACCGCTGGACTCAAACCACTGTTGAGGAAGTAGAGATGGTCAGGGGGGGAGGGAAAGAGATCTGTACAGGCGGGCAAGAAAGGGACTAAGGGATGAAAATAAAAGGAGATTACATATTTTATCTTTTATCAAGGATTATAATATATTTTTTTGAAGAAATTCAAATTAAGCAAAATATTCACTTTTTAGTGTATACATATAATTTTTTTTCTATAATTTAGATATCTTAAAAGAGAGAAAAAACTTATTAAAAGAGATACTGTTTAACGATATTGGGTTGCTATAACTCTGCATGTTCCTTTGACAATTTTAAGAACTTTTTTTTTTCTATTATTTTTATTTAGGGCAGATGTAATCTTTTAATTTTCTACTAATTTTGTTTTTCTCAAGGGACTTGTCCCAGAATAAAGTTATTTTCTATCTACCTATTTACTTAAAAACAATTTAAATATATCTTTTTAAAAAATTAAGAATATAAACTTTTAGCATTATCTACACTTTTACTTTTACGATTATTTTGCTATTTATTTATTGTACATAGTGTGAATAAGATACTCTTTATATCACTGTTACCATTGTCCTTAGATTTAACAGATTGTAATAAATCTCAATACAGAATTTTCGATGTAGCAGTATAAATATATATATATATATATATATATATATATATATATACCTTTACAATATCACCGATAAATCAATAAAATCAATTAATCTGATCGGAGTAAGATTGCAATAATACAAATCCTGTATCTTTGTCATGCTAAAAGAATCTGAAACGAAGGTGGATGAAGCATATACTCCATTAATATAATAAACTGTGAGAGAAATTTGCCTTAAAACAAAAATAAAAGTTTATAAAAAAGTATAAAAATATATATAAATATACAATTTTATTTTCAATTAAAATGCAATCCTTCCTTTGTCTTAAGAATCGTGAACTGTCAGAGAAGTTTGTGTTTTTCCTTTTCATACGTAATTTCAATACTTAATGGCTAAACTCTGGGAGATTATTCTAGACAATATTTCCAATAGAGAAGGAGTTGAATCATTTTTTTTTTCTTTTCCTAAGGTGGGAATTTTGTCTAGTTTACTATAAATCAATGTTTAATTACCTGAATTAAATCAATTTTGTGTTATCAACTCCTATGAAAGAGAAAACTTGACCAAATTAAGAAAACATAAAATTGGATTTAACTCGTCATCAAATGAAATTTTTTGTTGGAAATTTTGTCTAGAATCATCTCCCAGAGTTTGACTATTACGAACTGAGAAATTCTGTATAGTTATATCAACTAATAAACCGGGTCCATGTTGGACGAATATGTTGGAGAGAAGGCACTATATATTTTGTGAACAGTACAACTTCGATTCCCACTTGATTTCGACATAAATTTATTTCGATATGGTCTCGCTTTCATTCTGGTTAGAATAAGATTGTTACGTCTAACTAGTCCTTATGAGTTCCCAAAAAAACTCACTTGCCATACTAGTTCCTTCCATCAATATCAGTACAAGTACATCAGATAACCCACTGATAGAAAATGTATGTATTGATAGAAGGTAAAAACTTAATGAACCCCTCGAAGTTTTTATTTGAGCTACCAGCCTCATTATTGAATACTAACTTGCATGTTAAACTAGAACCAGTTGAAGCTAAACACACAGCACCTACTCTAACTAGTGTATGGTAATTTTAGAAATACAAATCCCTTTACTCCTATCAGCAACTATCGGCACCTACAAGTACGACGGATGTTCAACAACCAGTTTTCTTATTGATTTCATAATGTTCCGCGACCTCATATCTCAACTCGAAGAAGCCGGAACCCTGGTATTTATGTGAGACCATTCTTCAAGGATCGATATTGTCAGCGCCCCGATCGAGCCATTAACGAAGGAAAACAGGACCGTTCCGTTGATTTAATATTCATGAGGAATGATATACTGCTAAATCGGGAAAGTGCGAAAATGCCAGGAGAAAAAAAGCCCGGAGACAGAAATAAGAAACGCAAAGAGGTCAAAAGAGTAAAAAAGCGAGCTAAAAGGACAGCTATAAATCAGGAAATGCATCCGCGGCCCACGCGAGTGAATAAATCACGTGATTTATCCCGGGGCATAATCACCCTCGGATAGATAAAGTGTAAGGGAGCCCCTTATATCACCTCTACTTGGTGTAAATACACTTTTTTTCCGGTGAGGCGTGGGCTTCCTATATCTCGGAGGACGGATCGCATAAATAATATGTATCCTCCATGTCTTCACCACTAATGTATTCCTCGGTGGAGAGAGTCTATGCTAAGCGGCAGATGGTCGATAGTGGATATGGCAAGTCCTAGTGGTCACTTACGGTTATCGGGATTGCCCTCGATGAGGAAATGCAGAGGGAGTGCTCCCAATCATTATATTGTTCCCCGCTTGATCTCCTATCGCTCAGATAAACTCGCCGCGTATTATAATTTCCAACGTTACTCCCAATGGACAAATTGAATCCATTAATAGATTGTTCCAAGTTTACATTCATTATTTAAGAAACTTGTATCCCTTTCTCTTATGTGATTAATTTTAAACGCATATTATTTTAGTAATAGAAAAAACGGAAGCCTAACGATTAATGATTATATATGCTAATAACACTGTCAAATAATTGTTTTCTAAAGATATTAGATCTTGAATATGCACTAAGTTCGAATAGTTACTTAAATAAAAAAAAATAGGTTTACAGCTGTTAAATCAAAAATTTGGATTGTTTGCAATTACATATGATAAATCATCTTCTACCTCTTTAATCATATTGTTTATCAATAATCTAATAATTTATTAGATTTAAACGAATCTTAACTCCTAGGTTTTTCCGTTTAATAATACCTATTTTATAAAGACTCGGTGCGCCCTTGAAGAACATACTAACTATATGTGCACTGTCTATACACGGTCTGTTTATATTGGGATTCAGGATTTTGAAATTTTAATAAAACTGACTTAAAGGAATTTTAATTACCAACATTATCTATTTATTTATTATCAGCATAACTTCCCACACATGACAGGTTTCTTTCTTTATATTAAACTGCTGTCCTTAAGTGATTATAGTTTTGAAAAATAATTTTTGCTATTTATAACAATACAGTTTGTGAAAAATATAGACAAATCATAAAAAAAAAAAAAAAAAAAGATATGTCACAATGAATAATGTTAAACTTGAAA